CTACATCTTAGTCAACGCTATACTTACTAATCACCTCATCCGGCAAGAGCTAAAAACAACAAGTTATAATCTTCGTCGGACTCGCGGCATCACACATATCGAACAATTTAGCCTAGAGAATAGCTCGTTATCGGACTGAGAACGCGCTACATTGCAAAGAACGTCTGTCGACGGCCTTCGCGGCCAGAGGGCCATGGCGGCACCGGGTAATTGCTACCGGAGCGAAGAAAAACGCAGAAGCGTGGAGAAACGAAGCAATGCCGCTCGCACTTGCTGGCCGAAGCAATTGCGATTTAGCGACCGGCAATTACTTGCAGACTAAGCCGCGAGTTGGTTTTTCAAATAATTAGCCCGATATTGGCTGGCTGAAAGACGTAAATTTGCCGACAATGGCTCCTCAATCCCGCCTGCTAAATTTAATAAAACGATAAGCCTATCACAACGGTACAAGGCGAGCTCAATTTATAGTGTTTCGGTAATGTAATTGGAGCCGTAATATTACTACTGACGTGCTGCCCATGGGGGTATGCCAGTAAGTAACTTTGCGGCTTGAGACGCGTGCCAGGCCATATTTCCCAGCTGAGGCCGTTGCGAACTGGTGCCATTACGACATAGATCCATCCGCCCGCCGGAAATCAGCCTGCCGGACAAAAGCCAAGCTTACACAGCGGGAATGTGAGGCGGTCGCGGACTGAGCAAGGATGACACCGGGCGCGTATAATGTCGGTTCGCAGTGGGTGTGACTAGCCAATCGCAGTTGATCAACGCCGTTCGGCCCGCACCGCCCGAGGCCGCACGGCGGCCAGCGCTCCGGACGTGATAATGCGCGCGACCGGTACGGCATGGCCGCGCTGTGAGGCCGCGGTATGTGCCACGCCGAGCCCAGAAAAACGCGCACGACCGCCGCTGGCGCCGCCCGCTTGCCGCCGCCGCCGCACGCCTCCAATCATCAACAACCACGGCGACACAGCCGTTCGGTCGTCGCAACCGCCTATCCACGGTCATAAAACCGGGCCTCCATGCCTAATGCAGTGGCATGGCCAGCCCACGTCGGATTGTGGTGGTAGAGGGATGTTGTTGTGTGTGTGTGTGTGTGGTGTGTGCTGTTGTATTGAGTGTGGGCGTAGATGTGTGTGTGTGTGTGCTGTGTGTGCTGTGGGTCGTTGCGCGCAGCGCGCGTTGTGCTGTGTGTGTGTCGGTGGCTGTGTGATGTGGCGATGTGCTCTGGTGTTGTGTGTGTGCTTGTGTGGGAACGCGAGTGTGATGTGTGCATGGTGTGTGTGTTTGTGGTGGTGTGTTAAGGCTGGGATGGTGTGGTAGTGTTGTTGTGTGTGTGTGTGTATGTGTGGCTGTGGGATTGTGTTGTGTGTGTGTTTGTTGTGTGTGTATTGTGTGTGTGTGTGTGTTGTGTGTTCTGTGTGTGTGTGTGTGTTTGTGTGTGTCGTGCGTGGAGAAGCACGGCTCTGGTGTGTGTGAGGATGTGTGGTGTGGTGTTCGTTGTGTCGCTGTGAAGAGAGGAGCAGAGAAGGCCGAAGGAGTGGAGGTTGTGTGTGGGTTTGCTGAATGTGGGGGGTGGTGGGAGGGAAGAAGGAAAGTGGCTGGAGGGTGGAGTGGCTGACAGAATGTGTGTGCTGGATGATGTGTTTGTGCGCAGTGTGCTGTGCTGTGTTCTGTGTGCGAGGATGTGGTGAGTGGGCGGTTGTGTTGCGTCGTGTTGTATGTGTATGGTGTGTGTGCCATGTGTGTGTGTGGTGTTGTGTGTGTGTGCTGTGTGTGTGTGCTCGTGTGTGATGTTGTGTTGTGTGTGTGTGTGTGTGTGTGTGTCGTGCGCGCGTGTGTGTGTATGTGTGCGTGCGTAGTGCGTGTGCGCAATGTGGTTGCGGAGATGTATGTGTATACGCGCTACATTATATTTGTC